TCTCACTATGTAAAAAAAAGCTCACCTAGAACTCACTATATAGTCTAGTCTGATTCCAATCTTCTTGATCTTCCTATATCAGTCTCCCAGGTGTTATGCATAGTGTATCCTTTAAAGAGCTCTTAGACAAAGCATAATGAAAGAGCCAAGTAGGAGATATCGATTCAGAACTAGTCATTTTGTGTTATTAATACAAAAGTTATGAAAATGGGTTGCAGAGAGAGGAGGTAGAATACTAATACTTTTATGTTAACTGTGCTGGTTCAGTGATGATGAATATTTACATGCATATGGAGAGGTGTAAAGGGCAAAAAGGCCCTGTGCACACAGATAAGCACCAGGGGAGTCAGGAAAGTTCAACATACAGTTTATCTCTTCAGTGGAATGAGATGCATAATTGCTCTTTCTGGAATGTCAGGAATTACAAGGTTTTACATCCTGGTGATCCTTTGCTATCTCATGAGACAGGCTCGACCGTATCTCCCAGACTTTGTCTCACTTATCCTAAACCCTTTACCTGTAAATCTTCAGCAGTGATGTTAGGTCATAAAACCCATTCTTACAAATGAGGTCACTTGTGCTTTTCAACAGCCTAAGTGACTTCTATGTCATCTTAGGGCCTGGCCAATCCTGACACCCGCAGGGGTTATGTTTAATTCAGCATTTTCCTAGACCCTAAATCCTGAGCACTGTCTCTGAGTCAACAGTACCCATTCTTATGAAAGAAGCCAGATGTACTTTGTAAAGAATCTCAATGAAAACATGTCTTCAATTACTGTGTACTTGGGACTGAGTTAATTGTTATCAGATAACTTTTTTTTCCCCAAAATTGTGCTGGATTTAAACATGGCTAATATAAAATGATCTCAGCCAGACTCTAGAAGTCCTAGACCAGCACTGTTACAATAAAGTCAGGCTGACTTTCATTTTTATCTCTTCATGGAACATGTTTTTTTTTTTTTTCCTCCCGCTGGCTGTAAAGCCTGCAGAGAACCACCACACAAAGTGAAAGAGGACTAGCCATGTGGCTGTAGTGGTGCTTCTCTGGAGGTGGAATTAGCAGAGGTATATGATTGTATGGGCTAGATTCTAGCCTAGGCAACAAATAAGTCCCTGGCTCAATAAACAGTACCAAAATAGAGGGTATAAACAAGATACTTTGAATTATTTGGTAATTATGAGTTTCCAGTTCTCTGAGACTGGGTGAGCTGAATGGAGGTTCATGCACTGTTGAAATACATCAAAGACATGACAAAGACTGTAGGGTGAATTTCAAATGAGTTTGTTGGGTTTCTGGTCACTGCTGTACATTTGAATATAAATATTTAATAATCAGAAGAAAATTCTCCACTACTTACTTTTCCAAGCCAATGTTTTCACAAAATTAGCTCCTCTTGTATGAAAAACAGCATCAAAGTCTAGGGCAATCATGGAAATTTGAACCCAGTGACCATGGAGGACAGGAGAGAGCATTGGGTCCCATGGAACTGTAGTTACAGGTGGTCTTAAGCCATGATATGGATTCTGAAAATCAAAACCGGGTTCTCTGCAAGAAGAGCAAGGACTCCTAATCACTGAGCCATCTTTCTAACCTCTAGATAGCTTAGTTCCTCAAAGAACCACTGGAGTTAAATTTCTCCAGCATTTTGTGAGTGAAGAAATACATTAATTCATATCAAAGACATGTCATAAAGTTCTAATTTTAAAGGACATTCATTCATTTGCTCAATCTTCTTCTCCCAATTCATATGTTTTATTTTGGCTCTGTTAATAGAGGAAAATAAAAACAAAATAATGAATTCCTTTGTTTTTTTTTTTCAGCAAATAGTTGTGAATATGAAGATAAGTTTTCTAACTGTGCAGAATTGAAGGCTTCACTAACCTGTGACTATCCAATGGTTAAACAAGAGTGCAAAGCTACATGCAACTGTGAAGGCAAAATTCATTAAATTTCCAGTACAAATGAACAGGGCCATGTGAAGAAAGAGCATCTCCTCTACTTAGGCTAGTCATATTCCACTAGCAAATTTGAGGTATAGATACATTGAAATGATTCCAAACAGTAAATATTCCTTTCTTCTCTATTGTTCTATTTAGTAGAAATATTTTACATCCAAAGATTTTGAAATAACATAATCAATAATACCTTTGTACCTTGACCTCTGAATTCTGTGACACATTTATGGATTTGAGTCAAGCCCAAGGTTATACTGTTTGTCTGTATGACTAAGGTTTCTGAAACTCCTTCCTGAAAATAAGAATCAGGTTCCCAGAGCACAACAGAGTGAAGGAACAGCCTATACTTGAACTGTTACTGTCAGTCATCTTTCCTAGCTCTACCTAGCTATTATATCTGAACACAAATCCCCATTAGCTTTCTTTTATTTCTTCCCACCATTTGCTCTTCTTCACATGCGCTTGAATCAGTGGTTCAAATTCTAAACTTCAATTTACATTTTAGTTTTTGAGTTTTTCAAGCACCTTATAAAAATGAAATGTCGCCGGGCGGTGGTGGCGCACGCCTTTAATCCCAGCACTCGGGAGGCAGAGGCAGGCGGATCTCTGTGAGTTCGAGGCCAGCCTGGGCTACCAAGTGAGTTCCAGGAAAGGCGCAAAGCTACATAGAGAAACCCTGTCTCGAAAAAACAAAAAAAAAAAAAAATGAAATGTAATGAACAGAATTTGCATGTCCAGGTGACTGTGTTGACCTTGATTGTTTGAAAAAATTTAAATAAATCTTACTATTTGCATATTAATCCTCTCCTAGTATTTGTTTGAATTTCTGATTTGGAGTTTGTTTGTTCAGGAGAGTATTATAATATTTATGATACAGTTACTTAGTTTTTATTTACATTAAGGTTCTTAGTCTTCACAAGAGTTTACACTAATCAGTACACACTTCAATTAATATGCAATAGTGGAGCTGTGTCTGATAAATATTCCTGATCCTACCCCTGGCATATCCAACTTTCAGGCCTAACCCAGATCTTATATCCGCTGTGCCCCCACAGACTGTGAGTCCAATGGACCCTAGAACACCTGAATTCATCCCAACCTTAAGACATCCTGTGCACTGTGATAACTCTGATGCACCATAGAATCTAACGTCAGACATACAATCAATGAAAGAAATCCACATTTTCTGGTCAAATTGCTAAAACATAATATTTACGGCCCCAACAGTGTGACCCCATTCCACCAAATCCTCTACTTTTACAGAAATATTTTACAATGAGAATGAACCTCAGGGCACAAAATCTTTAAAACATCACAAAATTTTATCGAGGAATTTGAAGATTTAAGGAAGACATTGTAGTCTGAAGCTTTTCCTATGTCCTGCCCTGAGGGCAGTTGGGACAAGTCTTTCCCACTCATATCCCCCAAGTAAGCACACAGAGGCTTATATTAATTAAAACTGCTCAGCTATTCACTCAGCCCTAGCACTGACTAGCTCTTACACTTAAACTCAGCCCATTTTTGTTAATCTATGTTTTGCCATGCATTCCATGGCTTTACCTTTGTGCCATTACATGCTGTTCTCTGGCTGGTGGGCTGGTGTTTCCTCACTCAGCCTTCCCCTGTCCAGAATTATCATTGTCTGCTTATCCTGCCTATACTTCCTGCCTGGCTACTGGCCAATGAGTGTTTTATTAAACCAGTATAAAAAAGCGTTATCCCACAGCAAGACATTAACAAATATCTCAAATAACATAGAGATAGTGCCTGAGTGATGTCTAGTGTGTGTGTGTGTGTGTGTGTGTGTGTGTGTGTGTGTGTGTGATATATATATATATATATATATATGGTGAAGACAATTCAGAATTTGACAGCTATATTCAAGAAGAGAAAGAAATATTAAAGGTAACTCCAG